TGTGGGTCGGGACCCCATTTGGGGTCGATCGACCATTTCACGGGGGTCGCCAAGCAAGGCTGTCCGCCATTTTTTCCCCTTTTCCGGCGGGTGCCTTACCTCCCTTGGGCTGGGCCAGCTGGTGGTCGGCCTGCTCCGTCTCTGCCGCTTGCCAGCTACGCCTCGGCCGGCGCAGGGGGCGGAACCACGCATGCGCGGCACTCCCGGGCAGGGAAAGTCCTCGACTTACGACCGGTTGGGTAGTCCTCGACTTACGACGGGTTTAGTCCTTGACTTACGACCGGTTTAGTTTTTGACTTACGACCGGTTGGGGTCGCGGCATTAAAAAGGTTGAGAACCACTGTCATAGACCATTTGTATGCCAAGACATCTATTGGGAAAAAATTCTAAACTCAACTTTAAAACTGGAAGAGCTAAGGATGAATTCAGGCTTCCTCCATCGTGGGTTGGAAATGAGATAAAAGGAGTTTATCTTATAAACAGTTTGTAGGAGTCTTCAAGCTATAGTTAACAGGACTTATAAGCCAGGTTAAATTATTCATAGTGCTTTAAGTCTCTTACTGACTTACAGTAAACTCATCATTTTTTTCTATTTACTATAATGAGAGGCATTAAATGGTGCCTTTTGGACTTACATTCTGAACGTTACGTATCTTCATATCCTTTCTAGAGCACTTACCCCTAGAATGTGCACTCGGTTGTAGTAGGAACTGAAATCCATGCTTAGCTGAATCAGGAACTTACAAATCTATTAACAAAAGCAAGACAATCACATTCCTTTTAGTGCAAATACCTTGGGAGAATGAAGGTTGCTGCCAGTTGGTGTCTAGGAGTTGATTAAACATTTCTCCAAAACTGCTATCTGAGACTAAATCAGATGCAATCTAATGCCTACCGTAGGAATTTAATAACTATCCCAATCAAAGCAGCCTCTCAAGTGAAAAAAAACATCTCCCCTGTCTGGAGTCTGAACTTCAGCAGCAATGCGTGTTTGAGGTTTGGCATAACATGCTAAAATCGTTCCCCAACACATTGAAAAAAAATCAAAAAAAGACGAAGGAAGAGAAAGGAACTACAACGTTTTGCCATGCAATGTCCCAGCTTACCGCCTGCGTGCTAACTGTTATTCTTATCCCATCACTGGGGAGCAGGAACTGCATTATCTGGGTCAAGACCTCCTGGAAAGGCAGGATACTATTGAATAACAAGAGCCATTCCCCCTAGGAAAAACATAAGAGCAGAGGCTTTGGTTTGTCCAACAGAATTCATTCCAAATGCTATTTCCATATTGCACCTAGCAGGCAGAAGCATCAACCTGGCTTCATTGGGCTCATTATTGAATAGGCTGGGGAGAGTGGAAACCATGATTCCAAACCTCCCAAAATATTTGTTCTTCCCATGTATGAATAAAGTACTGGATCACCAATCTTTCTCTCAACACTCAGCTTAAGCACGAGAATGGAGGAAAAGAGCGGGGTGTCAGAAGGCGATATTGCATGTGTGCTATGGGGAAGGAAGGAAGGAAGGAAGGGAAGGGAAGGGAAGGGAAGGGAAGGGAAGGAAGGAAGGAAGGAAGGAAGGAAGGAAGGAAGGAAGGAAGGAAGGAAGGAAGGAAGGAAGGAAGGAAGGAAGGAAAAAAAATCTGTTCCAAATTGCAAACTAGGAGGGAAATGATATTTTTGCGTTTAAACGTTTATTAGTTTATAGCACTGGTGGCGAACCTATGGCACGCGTGCCAGAGGCAGCACTCAGAGTCCTCTCTGTGGGCACGCATGCCATGCCCCGGAGATGGCAACCGTCCCTCTTCAACCAGCTGCCTACTAACTCGCCGAGGTCCCACATGGCCGGATGCATCCCAGCACCCATGCGCTCACTGGCCTCTGTGTGCAGGGGCTGATGGTGTCAGGGAGCAGCCGCCCCGGCCTCACCTTGCCCTGTGACAATGGCCCCCCCACCCTGCCTCGCCTTGCCTCGCCTCACCCAGCAGGACGAGCCTCCTACCCACCGCCCCACCNAGGTTGAGAACCACTGTGATAAACAGTTGTAGGAACTGGGTATGTCTAGTTTAACAAAGAGAAGGACTAGAGCAGGGGTAGGCAACCTTGGCTCTTTTATGACTCGTGGACTTCAACTCCCAGAATTCCTGAGCCAGCCATGCTGAGGAGAAATAGAGAGATTTCCATGCTGAGCCATGCTGGCTCAGGAATTCTGGGAGTTGAAGTCCACGAGTCATAAAAGAGCCAAGGTTGCCTACCCCTGCACTAGGGGTAACATGATAGCAGTCTTCTAATATTTGAGAGGCTGTCAGAAAGAAGAGAGGGGACAACCTATTCTCCAAAGCATCTGAGGGCAAGACAAGAATGGATGGAAACTTATCAGAGAGATCCAGCTTAGAACTAAGGAGAAATTTCCTGACAGTGAGAACAATTAACCAGTAGAACTGCTTGCCTTCAGAAGTCGTGAGTGCTTTGTCACTGGAAGTTTTTAAGAAGAGGTTGGACAGCCATACTGTATGTCTGGAATAGTATAGGGTCTCCAAGCGGGCAGGGGATTGGACTAGAAGACCTCCAAGGTCCCTTCCAATTCTATTATTCTGTATTCTGTATCTCTGGGGTAGTGGTGGGGGGGGGTTGAAGTTCCAGAGCTATAGAGAAAGCATGGCTCTGGAATCCAACAAAATGGTGCTGTTTGGTGAAAGAGACCTGGAACATGCCCTTCCTGATAGAACTGGTAGGGCAGGCAGAAACAGTGAGAGACTGCAAATCTCCTGGTCCCATGCCATGTTAGGCTTTATAGATGGTGACCTTGAACTGGATTCAGAAGCCTACTTGGAGTCAGCATAGCTCACAGAGCAGCAGTGTTATATCAGCTTATCAAGAGAGACCCTGAAGAAAATGTGAGCTCTGTGTCCATTTAAGTGCCTTCTTTCCTTCTTTGCTAGACTGTTCCTGTTGCTTGAGAGTGCCAAGAAGTTGTGTCTTGTAGCAGAATCCTTTCACCATCAGCACTGTGTCCTGAAGGTCGAGGCATTTGCCTACAAGATGGCTAGTGGGAGAAGGTAGGAAGAGCGGAGCAACGGCACGTGAGTGCCATCTCCCTTGGCCAGGAGATGCTCGCATGAAGTTTGTTTGGAGCAGAGAATCAGACTGGAGGACTGCAAGAACTAATTTTGGGAATACCTCTTTCTTTTATAGGAGACACTTTATGGGCAGTGCAGCCACTGATGGGAGCATTGCATTTTGGGATGTTACTGCTGCCCTCGGCCATATTGCAGCAATAGTAAAGACAGGAGACATTCAGATGAAACCTCTAGGTAGGTGTTGTCTGTCTTTTAGGTGCAGCCTAAAAAACGCCAGTGCGTCCCCTGTCTTGTAAAGCTTCTCAGTTGGGGTTTCTGTTCATCTGAAGGTACAGCTGAGCATTTGGATTGTGTTCAACTATTTCTCTCCAATCTTGGGCCCTTTCAGCGTACTAGCTGTTTCTCATAAGCCTACCTGTCAGGGAGTTGCGCAACCGGTGGCCAAATGGAGTCAGAGACGCTGACATGAATTTGTAGTTTTATATAAATAAATATATTTTACATTTACATATACAGCAAACAAGATAGTCAGACGCATCACTACATCATGAGGTAAATCAGGGGTGTCAAACTGCCGGCCCACGGGCCGTTTGCCTCATGCGGAGGCCGCGCCCACCCCAGCTCCGGCAATGCTAAAAAAGTCACGATACATCGCGACACGTCACGTGACGTGGCGAGTTTGACACCCGTGAGGTAAATTGTCAGGTAAATTACAGAATGTCGAGCCCCACGAGGCTGACCTGTCCGGGCCGACGAGCGGCGGGCCACGAGCCCCTGGCGTTTTGCTCTATCGCCACCCAGACAACTT